TATATATATATATATATATATCTATATATATATATATATATATATATATATATATAGAGAGAGAGAGAGAGATAGAGAGAGAGAGAGAGAGAGAGAGAGAGAGAGAGAGAGAGAGAGTTTCCATTTAGCCTTTCTCTCAACCGCGGGACATCCTAACATGTTTAGTTAGGGTTTCTTCGGGTTCGCGTTTAAATACGCCTTCTCGGATCGGAGCTTGGTTGCCCCTCCTTTGGTTTGTTAAGACCTTCGTCTTGGAAGCGGCGGCTTTACAGGGGCAGGTGAGAGGATGAGTCGCGGTGGGGCAGCGGCGGCTGCCGCGAAGGGCGGGAAGAAGAAGGGTTCCACCTTCGTCATCGATTGCGCGAAGCCGGTGGAGGACAAGATCATGGACATCGCCTCCCTGGAGAAGTTCCTCCAGGAGAGGATCAAGGTGGCAGGCGGCAAGGCCGGCGCACTCGGCGACGCCGTAACCGTCACCCGCGACAAGAGCAAGATCACCGTCACCTCCGAGGGTCCCTTCTCGAAGCGGTAATACCTTGTCTCGTTTCCGGTGGATATTCTTTATTGGCTCTAATTCAGTTATCTGGATCATGGATTCTTGGTATGGCGTTGTAATTTAGTGCAAATGAGGTTTTACATGATTAGTTGCTGCGATATCTGTTGCTTATATTCTCGTGCTCGATTCAAGAAGTAGGAGATAGTCTTCGACAGCTTGTAGAGGACTTGAGATGGCGTTTATTATGACATATTGTGTTGGATGTTTGCATTTGTGCCCACCTGTTTGAAATCTTGCAGCTAATAACTTTAGATGCTATTTTGTTACCATAATGCATAGGTTAAAGTGTTGTTAGATATAGACGTCCTTATCACATCCACGTTCAACAGTGTTTCAGCACATATTTTAGTTCTTCTTGCGAATGGAGGAAGAAGATTTTTTCGAAAGTTGGTGGCGACGTAAAAGGGATAGTTAATTGTTTTAGCCAGTTGTTAGAGATGGACCACTTGAAAGAAGAGAAGTGTGGTCTTAAAATCTTAATTGCCTCCCTTGGTAACTTAGTTAACATGGCTTTGACTTCATTACATGTGTAGTATTTGTTAAAGGAATTAGATGTTTTGACTCGCCGAGTAGTCATTGCTTTATTGTGCAGAACATATGGATGTTCTTATGGTCGGTATCGTGAACTTTAGGTGGGTCATTATAGTTGCCTGACAGAATCATGGGTTTTATGAGGTATTGTTTGCCTTTTGGAGATGTACAATGTTTTGATGTAAGTCCACTCTTGTGTTGATATGATTTGTAAGCTAAGATATTAATTTTGGATTGAGGTCTAGCAGAACCCCCCCTTTTTTCCACTTTGATTTGCTTCTTAAGTTTAGCAACAGTTGAACTTTTCTCAGCTTCTATGATAGTCTGATTTTTTAACTTGGCAGCATTGCTATCATGCCCTGTTCATTCATTTTGTGATTTCAAAATTTGGAGGATACTGAGTTGCGGACCCTTAATATTTCATTCAACGCTTTCTACTTAGAACCAATAATTGTGAAGTTCTTTTTTTGTAAATTAGTACTGTGAGATTGAAGGGATGCCATATGCTATGTTTTTTACTTGGAATTGATATGCACTTATAGCTCTATTCTAATTTAAAATTCTGTGTCTTACAACTTTTTGTTCTGATCACTGTAGCTCTTACGCACTTTTCTTTTTTCTTAAGTGTTCTCACGATTTTTTTGTTAATTCATAGATTTCATATCATCAATTATTACATTGATGATGGAGTCTTATCAATGGTTTCACCAATTTGTGGGTATATGTCAAGATGGTTACATGTGTATTAATCTAGTTCTTATGTTTTATATGTTTATCGTACCTGTTATTAACAACAGGTTTTGACAAGATCGTCAAGCTAATTTAGAAAATAATTTATTGCCTTATTTTATAGTTAAGCGTTGCTCATTGCGCATGTGATATGGCACTGCAAAACCTATTTTTGTAGATCCCATATTCGTTTTCCATCATCATGATATAGTGTGTATTTTTTCATAGGTACTTAAAGTACCTGACAAAAAAGTACTTGAAGAAGCACAATGTGCGGGATTGGCTGCGAGTGATTGCTTCTAACAAAGATCGCAATGTTTACGAGCTTCGATACTTCAACATTGCTGAGAACGAGGGAGAAGAGGAAGAGTGATGATGGTGTGCCCTTATTATCCCTTTTTGTTGCCTTGTTTGGTTAATTTATGATAAATTAGAAGGTTTCTCCTGTTGTGGTTTGTTATGTTCAAACACGTTTTCTACTTTTATCGTTTCAATTTCAGAAGGTTTCTCCCTTATTCGGTGGTCTTATTTATTTAGCAGTAAACAATTTGATGGTTTCCTTGTGATGCTTATTCCTCGTTTAGCTCAATAATTATTCTTCTTTCTGCGAGGTGAGACACTTCAATATCCAAATTGGGGAACATTCATTACATTACTGCATGATAGAAAACATTCTGGTTGAGTATTACAATTTGCATTTAAAATTCTTTTTCACAATTCATCTTGAACGCTGATGTTCACTATGAGCACTTGAACTTTTACATCGAAGCTTGTGTTGGACCGGCTGTTTGGTTCTAGTAGTAGAACAAATTTGAACGGGTATTGGCTTGTCATTTTAGCTTTACTTTAATTTCTTCATATCATATTGATAGATTGGTTAATAAGTTGCTAATTCTTTCACTGGTAAGTTGTTTGCAGCTAATTCTTTCACTGGTAAGTTTGCTGCAAACAACGATAGTTTATTTAAATGTCATTTCCCGGTTTTCTGACATTTTCGATCCAATTACGAATAATGAATCTTTGCTCGGTGAACCCTTTTTTTGTTATTATTATCAGCCAGGCTGTCTAGATGTTAATAATCACTTACATATATTTATAATTCAAAAGCTGATTGTTTATCTATTTGGCTGTTAAATTATTGATATTTTTTCTGGCCTAACATTACCAAAAGATATAAAAAGGAAAATGAAGGTAGGTAAAATAAATACACGACAGACATATTTTGCATTTCCAAAACATTGATCTGAAACTAATGTATTTGGACTCATCTAAGTTTAATTTGACAAATTTTACACGTTAAATATTAATTTACTTATTAAAGGTTTAAGAATTTAAAATCTCATCGATGTTATCTTAAAATGTTGGTGATGAATAGTATATCAAAATCAGGATTGAGACACCTGAAACATTGACCCTGATTCTTACGTGCTTTGATTTTATCATATCGTATCGTCACAAAGATTATTATAAGATCAACAACCTTCCCATTACAAGGTGAGGTCCGACAATATATTAAGATGTAAGCAGGTTTTATAGCAACAATACCCGGCGGTGGTGGGCACAAAAGAACAACTAAAAATCAGTATGAGTTTGACGACTTGGTGACTCAAATTGCTTTGTAAAGGATTTCTTTTCTAAAAAAGGCTTGCGAAACCAAAACATTTCGAGCAATGATTGATTTCTTTCAAACGTCATATAGAGACAACTAACGTCTGTCTCTATATGAAGTTTGAAAGGCCCGGAATCTAACAACGGTTACGGTGGCACTCATTTGGCTCGGCACCGATAAATACACACTGGGCCCCCTTTGACTGCATGGACTTATGAGCTCATCATGCAAATAAGCAATAATGCCACTCTTAATGATTGATCGTACCACCGCAGGCAGGATATTAAGTTACGATAATATTTCTATAAAAAGATTTTGACTTTCTAGATCATTATAAAAAAATGGTAATATCAAAAACTTGCATACATGATCACCAACTCCTTCAAAACAAAACATAACAAACATCCGGAAATGATATAAAAGCGAGCTTCTAGGTCTTGCAACATCTCTAAAACCCATAAGAAAGAAATGATCCATTGCGACCCGGGAGTCATGTTATCCATTACTTGTTAGATTTCTTGCGAACCCTGCATAAGAAATTTTACCGTTATTCTATGAATAGAAAAACTTCAAAGAGCTTTTATAAAATGTGAATTGAGGAGAAATTCCTACTCGGATTGGGCGGTGGCGGGTACTAGGTCTCCAGGCCCCTGTTTGCAAACAGAACAAAATACATAACTCATTTGTTTTGAATTCAATTCCAAACGATAGCAGAAACCAGTTCCTCCTCATAAACAAAGATGAATGGCTTGGCTTCTCCCACACAAAATAAAATAAAATATTTACTATCGACAAAATCAAGCTTGCAATGACATTTATATTATAACCCAGGCCAAACAAACAAACAAAGCAAGTCTTCATTATCTTCTTTTTCTCTGGCTAACTGACAGTAAATCATTGGTGAAATCATTTTCCCTCAAAATTTAAGAAATATTAAAAGAAAAAAAAACCAAGTTTATCACTGCTAGTTATTATTGAAAGAAAATATGCTTATCCTTATCCAGCTAAAGATGGTTTCTAATACATATTTCTATAAAATAATCATCAAAGATGCTCGGGAAAGAAGAGTAGCAGCATAGAATGCGTTGGATATAGCATAAAATACGTGGAATATATCCAAACAAGAATCAGGAACTCTCAACAACCAAAACAGTCGAATGGGAAAATGATTGTGCAAAAAACCCTGCTGACTGCACGTCGTATTCATTGCAGAAAAACAATGTTGAAAAATTATCGGACCTGAGCCAGGCGTTCCTCCCTCCTGGCAATCTTCCTTTCTCTGCTAGCCTTGCTCTTGGCACGTTTAGCTTCAAATTGATCAGATAAGGTCTTCTCTCTTGCCTTTTCAGCTTTGGATTTATGAATACTTTCCATCAGCACCCTCTTGTTCTTAAAAACGTTACCTTTGACTTTCATGTACATGTCATGGTACATGTGCTTGTCAATCTTCTTCGACTCACGGTACTTCCTAAGCAACCGTCTAAGAACTCGCATCCGACGCATCCAAAGGACCTTAGTCGGAAGCCTAGCTTCTCTTGTACCCCTGCGCTTCCCTGTAATACAGATAAGATTGGTCAAAGAAAGGCTAAAGAAGAACAGAATTTATAAAAGAATTATTACCATATCCAGAATGTCGCCCTTTTCTCTTAGCTTCAAGTGCCCTCCTTGCACGAGATCGCGAATGAATCTTGGTTGGCTTCCTGATGATAAAACCATCCTTAACAAGCTTTCTTATATTTTGGCCTGCATAACAAAACCATCATGCTCCATCGCAAATGAACATGAAAAGCTGTTGCCAAAGCAAAGTTCTTACTAAAACAGTCAAGATCAAACTACAGTTATAAAAAGTTCGTCACCAAAAAGCCGTTAGCAAGTAGTGCTCAGAGTCTTTTTCTGCTTTCCAAAATCAATGATGTTTGTGCAGGGAAGAACTGCTACAATGTTCTTCCCATAGTGGTCCATGTTAATCTCTTGTATTACATATGTTCCCTACTCATATAACCACTAACTCGATCCCCAAACGGTCCTATGCCCTGCCATAATTCACTTTCCCCAACCACTAGCCTATTCCTGTCTGTCATGTTCTCATACTGATGCAATCAATAGCAGCATCGGTCAGCTAATAGCTTACAAATGGAGATGAATGGCAATCGCACCAGCAGTCTGTTCAACTGATACAGTGCTTTTGAGAAGAAAAGGTAATTCTCTTTGGCCCAAGGCCTTAGCGATCTCCTCCTGGTCTTTCTTTTGTTCGATCGTATTATGCATTCATAAAACATGAACGAGGTGATTCTGGAGTAGGAACCTGTAGCTTAGCCTGTTGGTGCACAAAGAAATCTTGAAACTTCTGTTCGAGAGTACAGAGTGAGTATGATATGAACACATCGAAAACACTACACACAAGAACTAACATAGACACGAGTTTTCATGTAATATAATTAGGAACATATCCAAAAGCCGACCTTTAAATCAAAAATACCTTATCAAGCGTTGATTTTAGCATATTAACAGATATCGGCAGCGGTTATAACGAAGAAAAGAAAATTTTACCGATTTCTATCTACAAACGAAACCAACAAAGAAGGGCTTGGGATTCAAGTACAAGCGCCGAATCGATCGGAAAGACGGTGAGAGGACAACAACAGCGAGGGATCGATAAGGAGAAAAGCTTCTCACGAGAGTTCGCCATGGAGATCTCGTTGACCTCATTGGGGTCGAGCCAGACCTTGCCCCTCCCGCATTTGAGGACGCTTCCGGCGAGCCTCTTCTGGAGCTTCAGCGACACCATCGCTCGTCTCTTCTGCCCTTGGTCGTTGCGAGACAGAACGAGAGGCGGCCGCAGGTAGCGACAGATGGATCATTTGTAAGCTATTTGCTCTAGGGTTTCTCGAGAGCAATGTCTTAGACAGATGGGCCGACCTACGGCCCACTGTACCGTGATCGGGCCGAGCTCGAGCTGCATAGAGCCCTAAATTAGATTTGTTTTTTCAGTAAAAGAATAAATTGAGGATTTTTTTCAGTAAGTTCTACCAAAATCTTTATTGATATTTTTTATTAATCACCCAATCACATAAGATCTGTATCAAATATTTGTTTCCACATTGAACATTTTAGATATTTTATACACATTCAATATTTACATTTTAGATAAGGATCAATCAATACACATTAAATGAAAACTTCCAACTGTTTAATACTAATTCAATAATTTCACTTTGGCTCTCGAGCATCCTACCTTGCATTAGTATACCAACATGTTGATTCAACAAGTTGGGTCATCAAAATTCATCTGATTCTCTAATAGACGGGCTAATTATATATTACTTGTGTAGTTAGTTACCATTAGCATCTTGATCCTTACATTTAAAAAAATTACATTAGCATCTCTCTAATTATGAAAGTGAAACATCTATATCTATGTACCATAACATCATCGGTTTCACTAATAGAAACACAAAAATAAATGATAAAAATATAATTTTAATGTTTTAGTTGATGATAACGAACGACGTCAGTGGTCGCGGATGTAAAGCGATGATGGGCCACTCTATGACTCCATCACGGAGCGATGTTTGTTGCACAAAGTCATCGGTACTAATTTCATAATCATTAAGACCATATAGTTGGCTCCTTTGCCTGCTCTCTAAAACCATTAACAACGTCTTCACTTTGCTCTTCCCCATCGAGCTCACCCCGTTGTCATCATCGACCAGAGCCCTCGTAACGTCCTCCGCCTAGTTTACCTCCTCGACGTCCCCTACAGCCTTAGCTTCATCACTTTTTATCAGGTTTAGCAGCGCAGTTGTAGCATTTTCTCTCACCCTCCCATTCCCCCCAACCACTATATCTACCAGGATGTTGACATTGTCCACCCTTCATAATGCCTCCATGCTCTCGTTGTATCCTGCCAGTTGGGTGATCACCATCGTCACATCCTCTATCACCTCCCTTCACCTGTCCTTCACCACCAACGCAAAGAGGGGTAGCACAATGCCTGGCTCGACGAGGGCGATGCAAATGAGCAAGTAGAGGGCATAGAGCATGTTCTTGATGGACCTAGTTAGTACGTCAAATTGTCAAGGAGGTCCATGAAGGCAATGATGAGGGGGCTTCTTTGGCTTGATGATGAAATAATACACTTTGATAAAGAGGAGGTTGTAAAGGGTTGTGGTAGCATGTTGGGGGTGACAAGAGTGTCAAGGATGCTCGAGATGCACATGAGCCCATTGTGAACAGAGATGGAGAGGTTAAGGAGGGTAACAACAGTGTTCTCTTAGGCCACGATCGTAGACAAGTGGTGGTCGAGGATGAAGTGACAAGAGAGGCACAGTGTCGATGTCGGTGAGGGGGGTGTGCATCTCCGAATCCTACTTCAATAGGTGACAAATTTCCATGATGGATTCAACGACAGACTTCAATTTTACGGTGACAAAGTGTCAACGCAGGTGTAGAGTGATGAAAAGACTGCTTGGCAATTGTATTGACATTGACGCTAGCGATACCGTCATCTACCACTACCGATGTCATATGCTATCATCAACTGGAATGTTATAATTATTATTTTTATTTTTTGTTATCATTATTTTTATTGATAAATAGATCTATATATTTTTTACTTTCATAATTATAAAAATACTAATATAATTTTTTAAAATATAAGAATCAAAATACTGAAAAAAATTGTAATCTAATTAACCGCCATGTGACATTAGTCGATTTCCGACTCTTAACATAAACGAGTCTCGTTTGTCCCACCTCGCACCGGCTTCTCTCGGAGCCCCAGAAACGAGTTCTCGTCGCGACCCGAAAGGCTAGTTGGTCGGACCAAATCACCCTGGGAATCTTCCGGGCCAAGGTGGTTTCGCAACGACCTGACTCGTGAGGCCCACAACATGATGACGTGGCACCTTATAACTTGCCGAGTCGGGCTCTAGCGTAGCGTGGGCCCCTTTTCTCTCACTCGATCCGTGGAACCTATGAACTCGGGCGACGCGGTCTCGAGTGGCATGCGGACCCAGCCTCCGTTAGCCAACCAGATACGAGGACTTTTTTTCGAGGCACCCCAGACGTTGGTGAGGTGGGCTCCAGAGCAGCGTGGCCCCCGCTTCTCTCTCACCCAGCATGTTGAGCCCATGCAAATGGGTGACGCGGTCTCGAATGGTATGTGCGCCCAACATTTCTCGCTCACCAGATACGTGGAGCCCTCGGACATAGGTGACGCGGCCCGCATAAGTGAGTCCCACAATTGTACTCCACGTGTCTTTGGTAGACCTGGCGTGGGGCCGCACATGTGGGTCCCACTCGCGACTCCCCTGCCTCGCCGACCTAGTTCGGGAACCAACGGATCAAATGACGACACCAGTGGTTCGTCTCCTCTCTCGGACGGTGGAGTGCGACGGCAGTGAGGCGGTGCGGACGAACGGGGGATGGTATCGAGAGAAGGAATAAGGGTTTCGACGAACGCGGAATAGCCCTTCGCCTCCTCTTTCCCCGCAGCTGGTGGCCGGAGGTCTCTCTACGCCATGTTCGAGGGCGTGGTGAGCCAAGTGCTCGCCGGCTACCTCGGCCGCTTCGTCAAGGGCATCCAGAAGGACCAGCTTAAGATCGGCATCTGGAACGGTAACCCTAGGCGCCACTTCTCCTACTTTATTTTTTATTTTTGGATCCTTGATCCCTTCCTAGAACCCTTGAGTCTTTGCTTCCCGGTGAGGAAGATTGTTTCTTGTTCGAGTAATTGTTTCTTTATCTGAAACACGTTTAATATCATCCGCTATTGCATGATGATGGGGTAATTGATCTAGTTGATCACCTAGTCGGCTTGTAGACCGACTTATAACGTTAAAACGTAGGGCCCTTGGCAACTAACTCGGTAGAGAAAACTAATGATAAGATTGTGTTATGTCAAATTGATGTCGCTGCAGAATTTCAGGAAGATTTGTGATTCGTGAAGTATAAACTGACATCTAACTGAGGGCGAGCCTTGACATCACAGTACCTAGCTGACCGGGTTTGAGTTGCTGAAACAGCTTCTCTGTTTATTGCTGTAAGGCTGACCCTCCGAAGACCCCTTATGTTTTTGCACTGGGTCTTGCTTCTCTAACAGGTATCCTGCTGTTTGGTGATTAAAACATATAGAAAGAAAAAATATTGCCCTCAAATTAAGAGGGTTGTTCAGTACTTAGACTTTCCAAAAAAAATCGTGACAGATATAGCTTTGAAAGTAACTGGATCGACTTAATCTTCAAGGATGGCAATGGAAGATAAATATGGCATTAGGTGAATGTCCTGTGTCGTGTAACTGAAGATGCATTATCATGTCCCGGTGTCCAAAACATCTGCTAATATATTCTCAATCAATCAGTAGATGGAAGAAACAAAGATTTTAGAATACATATTAACAGTAGTATTCTCTCACTCTTTGTTCTCATTGGTAGAAAGTGTTTCACTCATGAGTCTATCTTGGGCAGAAAGGTATCCTTACTGGTCTGAATTTTTAAACCTTGGTTTCGTCAAAATTTGAACCTTAACTTGGATTTTATGGTTGGTTGACTTGTGCCAGTTCTGATGGCATGGTACTTTGTCACATACTATGCCATGGGATGGTGCATAAAGGCATGGCTCTATATCTTGCCTTAAAACACATTGTGGCATTTGCATAGATGCTTTGCAGGAATAGTAACATAATGCAGCATGATGTGACTCAAAATGCAGAATGTTAGATGTTAATCAAAGGCCAGATTTTGCTTTGCACTTGATACAATACTCCTTGCATCATCTTGCTGGCTTATTTTGATTTTGTGAAGCTTAGCTTGCACAAGGAACTCAGTTGTACATTGTTGGACAGAAAATAGCATGATGTGCATTATGGACTTTGAGACCTGTAGATTTTAGATGTGAATAATTTTTTTGTTGTTATCTTTAAACAAATTGTTAATCTCTTTTATTATAGATGAGACATGTAACAGTAAGTCAGTAACTTCTTTCATATACTGTTTGTGCCTGAATTTCTTAAGTCTCTGCTTAAGATAGCAGATTGGTTTTATGTTGCCCTTATTAATTCTGACTGTTTATTAATTTTTTCAGAAGAAATATTATTGGAGAATGTGGAGTTAATACTTGAAGCCTTTGACTATTTGCAGTTGCCGTTTGCATTGAAAGATGGTACTTGCCTCTAGCTCTTTCTTTTTTTCAGTCACTCAGGATCAGTGCTCTTGTTTTTTCTGTGCCATGCTTGGCCATGATTCTCGTTTTTGAAAACTGGTCTACTCAGATCCACTCACTTTGATATAAATGGTTCAGATTCTCATATGCTTGTCTTTTTTGTGCATTATGTATTTTCTTTCCAATGTAAACTTTCTATTCTCTTATGCTTGTCTTCTTTATCCATTATGCATTTTCTTTCCAATTATTGTATATGCATGAAGTCACATCTTTATTCAAACTTTAAAGCTCATAGATTTATACTGGATCACCAGATTGCATTCTATAATTCTATATCAGTGTTCCTACTTGCTACTTGATATCAAAGGCTTGTTTTAAATATTTTCTGTTGGTATGTCTCTACTAGCCACAATTTATCCAGCAATCAAGTTGCGGATATATCTGTCATGGTTCTGCTGGCCACACCCAATCTAGCTGGCATTTGATGTTGCCAAAAAAAGTTTGCTAATTATTCTGACAACAGTGCCTAACTTGATTAATAGGATTTCTAAAATTCTTTGTCCCTCTCACTTTGTCATTGAAGATTGTTTGAGGATCATGTGATCTATGAGCTTGTTAGATGCCATCAACTTTGGCCTGTCTGATATGGGGTCAACAATTGAAATGCAGGACAGTTGTTTCACTCCCTG